CGATGAAATTATCTCAATTATATTACTCGGATACAGTTCACGCAATTCGGCGTTGTGTAACCGTCTGAACTCTCCGGTTAACTCATCCTTCTTCGGTCCGAATATTCTACGCAATACTTTATTTTCAAAAACCTTAAGACGCTGCTCATCCCTTAATGTAAGCGGCCAAGTTTCGCACCCATAAATAACTGTAGGCAAGATAATTGTTTTATAGATTCTAATTTTTAAGTTTCGGGACAAGAGGCGCGAACTAAGTAGTTTTGTCACAGAAAAATAACAAGCATTTCCCGCCTTCAGTCTAATCTTAATTTCTTCTTCAATTTCGTTTTTTCTAGTTATCGTAGAACCTAGATACCTAAACTTATCTACCTGTTCAAATATATTACCATCTATATCGATATCACCAGTAGTATTGCCATTTTTGCAGCTAACCATATATTTTGTTTTATCCACGTTTATTTCGAGTCCTAGTTCTTTACCGGCTTTCATTAACGTTGTCGTATTTAGTTCTATAGTTTCAAGGTCTTCGCTTAATAGTACCAGATCATCCGCATAGCCCAGCACGGATGTTGTCCCACCCAGATCCAACCCTTTCTCGGTACGCATTACCTCCCTAATGGCATGTTCTAATGCCAAATTGAACAGGACAGGCGAAAGGGAATCCCCCTGTTTTAAACCCGACCGAACCTCAAATTTTTCTGACAGATTATTACCGATTCTAACTTTATTGAGTGTCTCCGTCAAGCACAGCCTGACTAGATTTACTAATTTTTTAGGAATCCCCTGCTCGATTAGAATATTATACAGTTTCTGGCGGTCAATAGAATCGTAAGCCTTTTTAAAATCTATATACAGCTGGTGAACAATACCGTTGTACTCCAATTTTTTCTCTAATATTTGCCGTAAAGAAAATATTTGATCAATAGTCGAACGATTCCGTCTAAATCCGCATTGGTAGTCTCCGATAATTTCCTCGGCGTATTCCGTGATTCGACTGGTTAAGATTAAAGTAAATATTTTATAACATTCCGGAAGGAGTGAAATTCCTCGATAGTTATTACAATCCGTCCTCGGACCCTTTTTGTGAATCGGAATAAGAATAGATTCTTTCCATTCTTCAGGTAATTTCTCATTCACCCAGATCTTTTTAACCAACCGATGTATTTTAGAAACTCCAGCTTCCCCGCATGCCTTAATTAGTTCAGTAGGAATATTGTCGGTTCCCGCTGCTTTATAAGATTTTAATTTTCCGATAGCTAATTCAACTTCCTCTTTACTCGGTCCTTCTATCAACGGTTCAGCACTCTGGTACTCAGAAGGAGGACACAGATCATAATTTCCCGTATTTAAAATATTGTCAAAGTGGTCCTTAAACTTATTCAATATGTTAACCGGATCGGTCAGAATATTGTTATTATCATCCCTAATTCCAGACGTTACGGGCCCTACATATTTACGTGATCTGTTTATACCTTTGTACATGTCTCTTATGTTATTAGTTTCTATTTCAATTATTTTATTTTTAAGATACTCCCTTTTTTTATTTTTGAGCAATTTTGTCGTTTCATTCTTTGAGGTTCGGAAGTATTCCAGATTTTCTTCGCTAGGATTATTTAGAGCTTTTAATTTAGCGGCTTTTCGTTTTTCGCACATGTTTAAGCAATCTTCATCAAACCACGGTTTGTTATTCTTATTTTCCTTTTTTCCTAGACACGAGTTACCGATCGCTTTAATATTATCCCTGATCTCTACCCATAACTTGTCAATATCCTCGTGGTCCTCGCCAGGAAGCTCTAAAGCTTCAAACCTATTCTTAACATCTAGCTCGAATTGGGTTCTAATTGATGGATTTTTTAATTTGTCCAAATTAAAATTCTCAAAATCGAAACGGTTTTCTTTTCTCTTTTTTATATTAAGTTTTTGTCGAAGTTTTGCGATTACTAATTCATGATCCGACCCACATTCTGCTCCGCGATAAGACCGTACATTAATTATACTGCTTTGCCAGCTATGTTGTATCAAGACATGATCGATTTGATTTCGTGTTTGCGAATCCGGTGAAGTCCAAGTATATTTATGAATATCCTTATGTTTAAACGTCGTACTTTTAATTATCAGGTTTTTCGAGATGGCAAAGTTTATCAGACGGATCCCATTATCATTACTATATTCGTGCAAACTTTCTTTACCAATCGTCGGAATATAAACTTCTTCCCTTCCTACCTTTGCGTTCGCGTCACCTATAATTATTTTCATGTAGTTTCGCGGTAGTTTATCATAAACCCATTCGAGTTTATCGTAAAATTCACTTTTGACTTCATCGTCACTGTCGTCGGTCGGACAATGTATGGTTATTAATGCGATTTTAAACCAACGTCCCTGAAATGTAGCTACCGAAATTCTATCACTAAAGAATTGTACGTCCTTCAAAGCGGATAGTAATCTACTCCTAATTAGAAACCCGGTACCCAAACAATGATTCCCGCTTCCTCCGTACCAAATAGTGTACCTTCCTTCCCTCATCGAGCCCTCTCCTGGCCAGCGAACCTCTTGCAGAGCCACGACATCCAAATTGTACCCACTCACCTCATTCGCGACCGATTTTAGCCCCCCTGCTGTGTTTAAACTCCTTACGTTCCACGTACCAATATTTAAATCCCTATATTTCAACTTGCGCCATGAATCCCCTAAAGCAGTCCCCACCCGGAGACCCGAACGGGGGACTAGTTTACTTCCGGATAATGAGCGTTTTACCTTAGGGATATCCATGACTATTTGTGGTGTTTGGTGAACTAAAGATATGTGAGTAGGGCGTTCAATCCTACGTCACACCCTCCAGCAAGTCTGGTGGGCCCCTACCTCCAGCAAGTCTGGAGGTCCCCTCCCTCCAGCAAGTCTGGAGGGCCCCTCTCATTGTTGGTCAGCGAGTCCATCGGACTTAGCCGGGAGGAACTTCCAAGGAATTTCCACCGCCCATCCCCACATCCGCCACCCGTGGGACGCTCCCCATACGCGGTAATGAGCCCGCGCGAGGATCCATCATTATTTATCATTATTAATTATTATCTGTTTTATAATATTATATTTCTAATTATATTTAAAAAAATGTCAGCCCTGATGACGACTCACATGCCTGGGTTAAAACGTCAGCAACAATAAAATTCATAAAATGACTGCGTCCAGACTATTTATCACCTGCCATTAAAGTCATATATTCTATGGGAAGAGAAGAATAGTTGGATGAACTCCAACGAATAGTTCCTCGGAAGAAGCTTGCCTAGAAATCATACCTCCAAGAAAGAAACAAAGAAAAGCTACAATTTTACTGAACAGCCAGGAATAAATTTAAGGTAGTTGTTAGTCAGGCTAGGAAACGCTCATGGGAGGATTTTGGTAAAAAGCTGAGTGAGAACAATCGTGAATCTATAAGAACATTTTGGCGAAAAATGAAATGTTTAAGAAAAAAGCAAAACAAGCCCGTCAGAAATGTAAAAGGTAGTGACTGATTTGTGCTTACTGACAAGAAAAAAATTCTGAACAGATGGAAATAATATATTCAGGAACAATTCTCCGAAAATCCAGAATACACCACTGCCACAGCCAAAAACAAGTGCTCTCTACTTTAGAAAGCCTAGAGGTAAAAGAAGAAGAGATAGAACATGCAAGAAACCAGACTCTAAAAACAGAAAAGGCATTAGGAAGGGATGGTATTGATCTAGAATATTTGAAATACGGTGGACAAGAACTCTTTACAGCCCTTCAAAAGCTCTTTAAGGAAGTATATATCAAAGAAAGAGTAGTCTCAAGGAGTGAGAATATAGTATAATTCTACTAATTTATAAAAAACGCAGTTCAACAGATTGTAATAATTATAGACCCATCAGTCTGCTTTCTGTGTTGTATAAAATATACACCTATATTTTAGAGTACGTGCATCCACTTATATACACCTATTAAGTGATATCAATGCGGATAAGACCTATATGATAATAAAGATTACTTAATTACCCATTCATACACTGAGTTTATTCAAAATCATTAGAGCTATTTTCGAGAAAATTGTAAATATATGTAAAATCGATGATATAAAGTGACACTTCCGGTTAGCCAATTTTAACGAAAAAGTTGCTGTCACATCAGAGCCATATACGCAATTTCAGTTGGGTACGACTTTTCGTTTTTGAGCTAGGCTACACACACACAGGGGACAGACCTCAAAACATATATTTCTGTTAAAAACTCAGATTCGAAAATTTTCATGATCATAATACTTTCCCTTACTATATACTACATATATATTATTACATATTGGTAAGTGAAAGTAAAAACATTGAATGAAAAAATTGAACTTCAAAGCCAGTTTTTGAACAAAAAAAAGGTTGGTTAATTGAGGTTAAGTTTGTAGAGATGAAAATGATGTATAATTTGGAGAGAAAAAAGTTATAAAAATTGTGTTACATAAAAGTAACTTTTTGTTTACAATAATGGTGCAATCAAATCATTGGATTTTAAATTTTGGTTTGAATATAACCTTAAAAAAACTTTTAATGGATTAATATTTTAATAATACTTAAGAAATGCATGTTTCATTACATTTCCTGGGGAAAAAAAAAAATATAGCTGGTTTCAGAAATAAACTTATTTTGCCTGGAACATTTTTTTTTTATTTAGGTTCCTTATTGAAAAAAAATGATTATAGCATTGGATTTATCAGATCTTTTAACATGAAAACCGATACATATCTCGATTTCGGAAAAAATCTATTAGGGTTCACTTAGGAAATAAATGAAACTCGATTACAACAACCATTCAAAGAACTACCAATAACTCCTGCAACAATTAATCTAATTTAACTATCTGTATTTAAAAAAAATGTGATCTTAAGTACTTAAATTGATTTATATATATTTGTTTTAGAGAACTTATAAACTTTTCATCTCAAAATAGCTAAACAAAGACATTACTACATCCAAATCAAATTCATTAATAAGGGTACAAACCTTATGGTTCCTTAGTTGTTTAGTTGTCTTAAAACCTTTACCACAAGAGTCACATAAGAAGGGTCTTTCATTGCCATGTGTGCGTCTGTGTAAGTTCAACAATTTGCTTAAACTGAAATGAAAAAGATAATAAAACCTTATCATTATTTGAAAATATCATTAGGAAAATGTCAGTTTATTTACACTAGTTATTGAGTTTGAAGCAGTATTTAATTTAGGAAAGAAATCAAGTGTTGGAAACAGTAGGAATAACTTAGGAGGCTGGCAGCAAGATGTTACATTAATCACATGTTATAATTAAAACACATGATATAATTGAACAAAATTGATGTTATTGAAAAAAAAAATTGAATTGTGTTGTGCACTAATAAAAATAATATTGTTTATTAAAGAATATAGTGCTGTTTATTTGCTTTGATCTTTTCTTTTGTGCGTTTAAATAATATTAAGCTTAAAACAGTGTTATGCAAAGAAAATATTATGTATAAATATTACATAATTATCGCATAACATATATAATGTTATCTAAACTTTAGAAGTTGAAAATTAAAATCTTGCAGCCCTACCTGGGCCTCCCCCTGTTGGGCCTGATTTAATTAACCATGGAGAACGGGAAGATATTCTGTACAAAAATCCTGTTCTCCAGGAATAACGGATAGGAAGGGATAAAAAATGTATCTGCCAATCTGGAAAGGATTTAAGCTTTCATGAAGATCGGGAACCTGCAGGTAACCTCTCCGTAAAATATGCATTGGCTGATATAGGGAGGATATTTTCAAAATTGAAACATTTTTTGAGGATAGTTTATTGGCCCACCTGAAATTGTTCTACAATTTTAATGACAAGACATATTAATTTATTTTACCATTTTTCCACATAATATTTATCATAGTTTTGTAATACAGTAGTAGGATTTAAATGTTAAGTAATAAGAATGAAGGTATAAAAAAAAAAAAAAGTGCCATAATTCACCAAAATAAATGCTATATTGGTACACTTTTTAGCGCTATATTTGCCAAAACTTATTTAGAATGATTCTAGTAATAAATGAACTTATATGCTACTATGACAAATTCTTTCTTGATTTACCTATTAGTTTTGTAAGAGCATTGGTCACAGGAATATAGCTCCATATCAATACTATGCTGCTTCCAAAGATGAAGAGACAGATTTGCCCAGGAGGATGAATTTTCGCAGCATTCCAAACATTTCCATTTCACTCCTTATGAATTATATTGATAAAGAAACATTTTGTAATTTTTAAAGTTTAGATTAAAATAATCACACCATTTAATGAACTAGAAAAAGCAAAGTAACCATAAAACCATACCATCATGACACTGCCTGTGATATGACATATTTGATGGTGATACCAGACGTACAGCGCATCCTTCAATCCCACATCTATAAAAATGAAGTTAGAGTTAGCCATAGACAGTTAAATATCACATATCTCTGGTTATAAAAAGTACAAGTACAAAGGTTCTATTGGATTCATTTTTGTAAAAACTTTTCACCAAAGAAAAAGAAAATTAGATAGATAAATGGTCGAATCAGCAGTTGTGTGTTCATATATCACATAAGCACTCACAGAAGCACAACTTAAAAAATTGTAATTTTTTAGGACAAACATTAGACATAGGCTAATTTCTTCATAGGACTATCGCCTAGGGTATTTCCACGAACACAAGTTATTGGTAGATCACTTATTGTGTTTATTATTTTGGCCTGATGTTTGAGGGCTGGCTGCTCTGGGATGATAGGGGTACTATTTAAACTTCTCATGGTAGAAATTTTGGGTTGTGCATCTTTCATTCTTAATGTGCAACATGTATAAATAAACTATTTATTGCAAGTTAAAAATAAAATATGTTATATTGCGCCATATACAAATTGTTAAATTTTACTTTACTGATTGAAAAGAAGAAATGCATTAAATTGCTTTTAACTTAAAATTAATTTTCAAAAGATTAAAATAATAACAAGAACTTTTTTATTTATTTATGACTTTTGATCAATGTGCAATGTAAGATTACTGGTTTTGAACAACTGTCATTTTCTATGGCTTTTGACAAGTGATAAGTGACACCTTTATAAGTCAATTTGGCATATTCGAATTTCATTTAGTTTTTTATTATTTCTTCATTAAACATAAAAATTTTATGTTGAATTTTCAAGGAATATTTCTCCATCATCAAAATTTATATTATGCCAACATCAATTATTTCACGAGTACTTTTATAGCTTCTGTTATCATACATCATAAAATATAAGTTATAACTTTTAATTAATTTAATGTTATTAATTTCCATAGCCAGGAGCTATTGACTATCAATTGGCTCCTTAAAATATCGCATATAATTCAAGGATGTCTGTGTGGACAACTGGACTATCTCGCAAAATACTGCATTTGAACATCATGGAGTGACAATAGATAGGTTTGGTACAGTGTAAAAGGACATAAACAATAAAATTAAAAATGGAAAAAAGATAATTGGCCTTCTCAACACTATTGTGGAACAAAAATGTGTTAAAATACTTTGATCAGAACATTTTTTAATTTTTCGAACAAACAAAAAATAAATAATTTATCTATTTAATTTTATTTCAACATTAAATTAATAAAAAAATTCAATTTTATACCTCAGCCCCATTTCTTTCTCAACTTTAACATTGGTAATCTTCTTCAGAGCTTTTTTAGTAATTTTCTCAGGCTTTTCTCTTTTGCTATTAGAACTAAGCTCAAGAGGTAGTTGTGGAATAAGATTTATAATGCCTAAAAAACATTTATTTATCAATGAGTTGAAAAAAATAAAATTAAAAATGATAGAAGAAAATATTTATGTTTGCTATTAGTTAACTAAACAGTCAAGAAAATACCACTCAAGTAATCTGGACATGTCTCTATAAGGAAGGAACCTAGAAACTTGTTCAGGATCACTTAAACATTTAAAGACAGTGGGACAAACATGGATTACTTGATTTGAAATAACATATCTCTATGTAAACATTATAATTTTGAATAAATAAAAATATTAACTTGGAGGCTCACCATCTTTGTCAGAAATATTCCTTGCCTAAAACTTTCCTTCCACAGCATTCCATCAAAACCCAAACCATCTAGTTGGACAAACCAAACACAATCCTCCCATCTAAGTTTCTGGCAAGCCCTAGGATTCTTGCATGTCAAAATAGCATGGATTATCATTATAATAATTCCTTTGCTTTACATCTCGACTATTTTACACCCCCATTTCATTTGCCACCATGCTAATAACCCAATTATATTTACCAGATATAGCTCACATAATTTAGTGTTGAGTAGTTGTGAGAATATATAAATTCTGGGAATATAAATTCTCTGGTCCAAATATTCAATACAGTACTTTAATTTCAAAAGTAAGATGGTGTTTTTGGTTGTGGCAAAATTTCATATCCAAAAAGAGCAGTACCGAAAAATTAAAAATGAATCTGTGTATAAATTAGAGGGAGAACTACAATAACATGAATACTTAAATGTTTTGAATTGTTAAATCACGCAGCATACTCATCAATCCAAGAGACATTATTTAAAATCATAGCTAAAATTTCCCAAAATTAAAACTTCCAAAAGTGAGATTTTGAGCTGCATCTTAATCGACCACTTTTGATTGGTAGACAATGTTTCTTATGTTCTCAAGTCAACCAATTTTTGCAAAAATTTGCTTAAGATGACCCAAAATTTTTTATGAGGGCAAATACCATTAAAACTTTAAATCGACCAATCTGAATTGGCAGAAGAGCATTTTCCTCAAACCCATAAGGAGCAGTATCAGCCTATTGAACATTATTTCAAAATAAATAATGTGGCCATTTCGGTCCTGGCTCTAAGTCTACATGACAAAGCCATGTTGTTTCACTCACATGACGGAGTGTCCGTTTCCACCACTTTTCTTAACAATAATTTAGTCAGTGGGCCAGACCCCCTTTCCATGCACCCCCCCCCCCACATCCCTATTATAAATTGCATATCGTTGTGTTCCTTGTAACAATTTAATAAAAAAAAAGCCAATGTTCCCACAAAAAAAAAGTGAACGCACTGCCCCAAAATGGCGTCCAAAGATGGCGGATTGACGACTTTGACTTTAGTTAGTTTTTTGGTCACTGAGAATCAGCATTTGGCTTAATTTCCTCATAGTTGGTCTTTTATTAAAGCTGAATAGTCATTAAGGTACTTCTCTGTTAGCGGGTAGAGTCAAAACCTTCCTTCTTATCTAATCTCGTTTCAGATAACCATCTCGTTTCAGATAACCTCCCTTATCGACCCAATCTCGTTTCTCAAGTTATTGTGTTCTTTAGTTTTTCTTGTTCTTTAGTTTAGTTGTTCTTTAGTATTCTTTAAGTTATTGTGTTGTTTAGTATTATATTGTGTTCTTTTGTTAATATTGTGTTGTTTTGTTTCAACTGGAATTATGGATGTTGTCACATTGTGGGAATTGCCGTCTTCGGAAGAAGAGGCTATCAAATATTTTCAAGACGCCGGTATATTTGATAGCGTGAAATATTGTGATTATTGTGATGGTCGTAAAATGAAGTTCGACGGGAAGATTAAATGGAGATGCTCTCGTAGGTGTAACAAAACCGTTTCTATAAGGAAAGGAACGTGGTTAAAGGGGTCCAGGATTTCTTTTTTGACGGCTTTAAAATTCATTTATGGGTGGTCCCATAATTTAACTACAATTCAGTGGGGGAAAGAGCAGCTCAAACTATCCACCCAAACTGTCGTAGCATGGAACAAATTTTTAAGAGAAGTTTGTGCCCATGACATGTTATACAGGTCGAATAAAAAAATTGGAGGGCCTGGCAAAGTCGTCGAAGTAGACGAGAGTCTTTTTTCGAAAAGAAAAAATCATATGGGGAGAGTCTTACCTCAGCAGTGGATGTTTGGCGGAGTTTGCCGAGAAACAGACGAGTGTTTTATAGTTAAAATAAAGGATAGGAGAGCAGGGACTTTATTAGAAGCTATCAAAAACAATGTAGAAGAGGGAAGCACGATTTATTCCGACTGTTGGAAAGGATACAACACAAAACAACTGAATGAAGCAAACTACGACCATTTTCAGGTCAATCACACATATAATTTTGTTGATCCATCAAGTGGAGTCCATACTCAACACATCGAAAGATTATGGGGCTCAGCCAAGTGGAGAAATAAAAAACACAGAGGAACTGCCAGACAACACCTGGATTCATATTTATGTGAGTTTTTGTGGCGGCGGGCGCATAAACATCAGGATCTCTTCCTCGCTATTTTAAATACGATAAAATTATTTTCCCTACCAAAATAAAATTTTTCATATTTTGTTTCCATCGTTTATTCATAATCTTTGTTTTAGATGTACATATCCTGTTAAAGTAGTTTTTTATTATTTAATCCTTTTTTGTCTATTTTTGGCCTATTTTTATTATTTCATTTATTTTTGTATATATGTTGCAATGTTTTCGTAATGTTTTTTAATTATATATTTATGTTTTGGTATATATTTATGTTTTTACGATATATATGTTTTGGTATATATTTATGTTTTTCAATATATTTATGTTTTGGTATATTTTAATATATACCTTGTGAAATAAAAGTATTTTTAAATATACGTTGTGAAATAAAAGCATTTATTATTACATTTCTTTCTGTTTTTGTTCACAATTTCAATAATATCAATACAATACAATCAATATGAATACGAACACATAATAAAATGAATATAATACAATATATACGAATACGAAGAGCTTATCAGTGTTAAGGTTATAAACATTGGCGGATAGCAGTCGGACTCTACCCGCTAATAGAGAAGTACCGTCATTAAATAATAAAACATGAAGAAATATTAAAAAATAATTGGCTTAGGCTACGAAAAACACCAGTAAAATCAATTTTTTTTACAAACAAATTTTCAAGTTACAAAACAAGCGTCGTTTGTAATTAAACGGACTACAATAACGCAAAATGTGCTAAAATAAAACATCTGGAGAATATATTTCTCTTCCTAAAACGCTGATTATTTTTTAAAAAATTTTAAGCAGTTCCGTAGAAAATGTACTTATGCGGCAGAAAAGCGGTACTGGCGTGGGTGCCTAAAGGCCTCTACCACACCATTCAGTACACATAAATGGCTTAGTTATAGTGATATAACATTTTTGGTACATTATATTGGTTTTATTAACGAACAAATATTAATGCAATAATTTAATCGCAAAAAAAAAAATTTAAATTTAAAAAAAAAATGTATTATTTTTTTTTTTAATTTAACCTCCTTTATTCTATAAGTAGGTCGTTTAAGAAGACCTCAATTGTAAAAATGATATAATGATAATAATAAACTTAATTAAAAAATACTATGTTTAATACTTTAAAAAAAAATACTTATCTTGATTTTTTTTTAATTTAACGTTTGCAATTTAACACTGTGTTTTGTATATTTACTGATTCTTAGAGGTAATTAAAATTTTTATATAATTCCCAGGAAATGAGTCATATTAATACCTGTTTTATAAACTAAAATAATATATACCTAATCTGAACTATATATAATAAATAGCTACCGGGTTGTTTAGTAAAACTCATACATCACTAATTAAAAAATAATTTTTATTTCCTTTATTTTGAGCGGAAGTTTTATTTTAGCACGTTTTGCGTTATTGTAGTCCGTTTAATTACAAACGACGCTTGATTTGTAACTTGAAAATTTTTTGTAAAAAAAATTGACTTTACTGGTGTTTTTCGTAGCCTAAGCCAATTATTTTTTAATATTTCTTCATGTTTGATTATTTAATGACTATTCAGATATAACTATGAGGAAATTAAACCAAATGCTGATTCTCAGTGACCAAAAAACTAACTAAAGTCAAAGTCGTCAATCCGCCATCTTTGGACGCCATTTTGGGCCAGTGCGTTCACTTTTTTTTGAGGGAACATTGGCTTTTTTTTAATAAATTGTTACAAGGAACACAACGATATGCAATTTATAGGGATGTGGGGGGGAGGGGTGCACGGTAAGGGGGTCTGGACCACCGTGTAATTATCTTTACAAATATCATCATAAAAATTTGGGACTTTTGGGGTCATTATTTATACTATATTATTATTTGTAACCTAATCTTCATTGACAAATAAAAGTTAACAATTCATGCAAGTACCCAATTCAAAGATTTTTTCCGTGATATCTGAATTCAAATCTTTTTTTTTTTTAAATCTATTTATTGAATAATAATAGAATCAGCCACTGCTGCAGGGCTATAAGTATTAGGGCTTTAAGTTCTCATTCATACAATACATATAAATAATAGAGAAATAAATATAAATATAAAAAGTAAATAAATAATACTGATGAAGAAAGTAAATAAAAAGGAAAAATAAACAAATAAAAACTTCTAAACACAATCATACCTATATACAATATATACATTCGCTCAGGAATCTCCGAGCCAGGCTTTTTCCCCCACATGTGGAAGGCAAAGCAAGACTCCAGGAGATCCCAGTGCCACTTTTCCAGCAGCATCACTAGTATTAGAAGCCAGTGGAGACTGAAAGAGGGCAATAGAGCCACAGACACTCAGGACATTAGTGGAGAAGCTGGCCATTGCCAGGACTCCAAAGGCATATTGACAAAAGATCACGAGGCCACTGCCATTTCAACCTTCGAGGGGGATGGTATGGAAGCTCGGAGCTGGATAGGGATTGCGCTAGAGGATTGGGATGATGAATAAGGTTTTGGTGAAAGTTGGAGAATCTGAATGGGATGATGTCATGGACATATGGGATGTTAAGGTCATGGTGTAGGGTCTTGTTCGAGACATAAAATGGAGCATTGACTATTGTTGGAAGGACTTTGGACTGGAAGGATTGGATAAGTTTGATATTCAATGATTTAGTTGTCCCCCACAGTTCAAGTCCGTAGGTCCAGATAGGTTTCAGTATGGTCTTGTAGATTAATAATTTGTTTTCTGTTGAGAGATGAAATGTTCTGTTTAGTAGTCTATATAGCTGACCAAATCGTCGGTTAAGCTCTTGTCTTTAAAGTCTCGTATGTGGGTTCCAAGTTAATCTTTTGCCTAGAAGGAAGCCAAGGTATCGGACTGTGTCTGAGTAGGGAAGAGGAATTGAATTAAAAAGGATTGGTGGACAGGATGTGCGTCGAAGAGTGAAAGTTTGCATGTTTGCATTACATGTTTGCATTCTGACTCATTGATTTTGATGTGCCAGTTGTTGCACCACTGCTCAATCAAGGAGAGGTGTCTTTGGTAAGTCGAGTTTCAGTTATTAATGCTATATCAATGTTTTTGTCCTGTAATAAGATTGTTAGTTCGTTGATGTGATTTCGAATACCATTCGCATTCCAAAGGAGAATGGAGAGGGATTTGATTTGGGACACATTTATGGATTTATTGGCAGTGGGATGAGGTTGGATAAAACATTGGTAAGTAAAGAAATGAGAGGAGTGATGACTGACCTGAATTCAGAGAGGAAAGAAGTCAGTAGGCTTGTGTGGTCAGTGGCATTGGGAGGAGGAGGAATGAATGTCTGGTTATTAGGCCTCGGTTCAGAGATGGGATAAGGGTCTTGAGGTTGAGATGTGAATTCTCGAGGTTGAGGTTCTTGTGGCAGGGCCTAAGTTTGTGTGAGTGCAGTGTCTCCTTTGAACATCTGAGCATAGGACACTCTTGTATTTACAGTTTTAGAGGGTTGTCTTGGTGGCCTGGATGTCCGTTCTTCTCTTGGAGCTGCATAAATTCTTGCTTTCAGTTCCTTATATATTTGGCAACCCTTATAGTTCGCTGGTGTTCTTCTGGACTTTTTGCAGTCCTCTGTTTTATGTTGATCACCGCACCTGACACATCTAGGAATGTGGTGGCAATAGTGTTTTGTATGACCATAAGCCTGATAGTTATGGCATTATACAATGTTGTGCTTAGTGTAGGGCTTTTCTACAACAACGCTAGTGTAGTAAAGGCATGTGCTTTGTAGATATCTTCGATCCCTGACGATCGTTCAAGATCAACGAAGAATAATGGTAGGGGTATTTTATTTTTTACATCAGGTTGTTCTTAATCTCCTTTAAAAATATTCACTATTTGTCGAACATGGAACCCCATCTCAGTTAGTTCTTCTTTAATGGCATCTAGCGGTGTTGATAGGTATAAAATCCTGATCACCACCCTGAGCACTCTCTCTTGGCACAGCTGATACGTATGATAATCCGCCTTAGTGTCAGATTAGTACTTGATAATTTTTCGAATTCAAATCTAATGTGACATTCCAAAAAAAAAAAAAAATCAGAAGGGTAACAAAAAAAATTAACAGGACTTGAAACCCACTGATCAGGATTCCAGATCTTCTATTAATTTTTTCTTATCGGCTGTGTTTCAATAAATTTTTTAACTATAGTCTCAACACATTAGATTTTTAAAGAACCAGATTGAATTGAAAAGTTAATATTACTTAAATCTGAAGCCAACCTAAACTTTTATTTGATATCAAAAACATATTTTTAGGTTGACTTGATTTTTTTAACAAGATGTCAGATTTCATAAAGAAGACCCTATAATTCCATTAGTAAATAATGTTTTATATAATTAGTTCGAGTTCTTTAGTATAAATCTATTTGTAAAAAAAAAAAAAAAAAAACCTGTATTATCATTTGATTTATTTTTTATAGTTTCTAAATTAATAGAAATAACTTCTTTTAGTTCAGTCATTGCTACTTTGTGGTCAATGATTAAATGTACCTGGAACAAAAAAAAAAGAATAACAATCAATTATATGATTAGAAATATAAATATCCATGTAGTACTGAATAATATTATTTGATTAAATTAAATAATCACTTGTAGAGTGGCTGTGGAATTAAAAGTGTTGTCACATGCTAGGCAGTATATTCTTTTTGCTATTCCTGTACAGTTTTCTGCATGATAGTTGGCTTTTTCCTCATCTAAACATACCAGCTCACAACTGGGGCAATAATACCAAGATTTTTTGTTATAATTACGCTTCTCCATTCTGGAAAAAAATAAAACAATAATTATCACTAGTACTATATCCAGTTGAAGAGTAAAATTACCAAAAACAAACAACTATATTTTATTTAACACATATATTAAAATATTTCTAATTATGGAAATTATAAGTTTTTAAAATGTATATTTAGAATGGTTAAAGGTAAAATTATACATACAAATAACTTATTCAGTTAAAACATTTTTTATAATTTCATAATAATCAAAAACTTAAGAACCAAAATGCGCTTAAGTCCGAGAGCTGTAATGGCTTTTCAACTATATTAAGTAACGATTATACCTGAGCTCAATAAAAATGTTGATGTACTTTCAACTTAATCAAAGCTTACGTAGAGTCGTACTATGCCAGTAGGCAAAACATCATTGGACTGCTCGGATTTTGAAGCGCATTTTGGTCCTTAACTTTTTGATGATTGTTGAAGTTGAACTATGGAAGTTGAAGTCTCTCATGCCAACAGAATATATAAAATCTATGTAATTTATTTATACATTCTAGCTCTGTTCAAAAGCACTGAAAAGACAAAAAGCGCTTAAGTTGAGAGTGGCAGATACTAAAAGGGAAATACGCCTTCGATTCCATGCGCTTTAACAGCTGCTTAATCTTCTCACATATGAACGGGTCTACGGGTCTACGGCTATATACTTCATTGCGGTTTATGATTTTTTTCTTAAAATATTTGATTCTACATTCCTGTAAAATCGGACAAACAGTGACGTAGTGGAACACATCCTCTATTACATTTAAATTACAAAGGTTACACAATCTTTATTGCTTACTCCTCATTACACTATTGTTTAGAAACAATAATTAATGTTGTAAATACATGTAAAGTATGCCAAAGATCCAAAACCAAAGAGTCATTGCTTCCTCATGAAATTCCACCTATCCCTTTCAATAAGGAAGAAATGGATGTTCTTGAATTCGGTAGAAAATATTATCTAGTTGTCATAGATCACTATTCCAGATGGATTGAGTTGAGCCAATTGAAGGATAAATCTGCCACAACAATAATTAAATGTCTTAAATCTATGTTTGCCTCTTTTGGAATCCCAAAGATTGTCATTACTGATAATAATCTTTTCAGCTCACTTGAATTAAGAAATTTTTCAGATGAATGGAATTTTAATATAATTACCTCTAGCCCTTGTTACCCAAAAAGTAATGGCCTCGCTGAAAAGGCAATTGGTGTGGTGAAATCCATGTTGAAAAAATGTTGTTATGAAAATTATGATACAGAACTGTATTTATTAAATTATAGAAACTTCCCTATTACAGAACTCAAATACTCTCAATCGCAGATCCTCCAAAGTAGAATCCTCAGGACAAAATTACCAATTGCAATCACCATCTTTTACCAAAAATTATTAGTGATCCTAAAGTATGTATACAACTATTTTCCATTGCGATCTCTTATTTCTCCTTTAGTTAATTATCAAATTCTTCCATATTTTATATTTAACAATCTTTTATATTAGAAATTAATGTGAAATGGTCAATTGTTTCAAACAAAAAAAATTAGAGGTACTTTAGGGGAAGCTAATATTGAAAATTAACCATTTAAGCCCTGTTAGAGAACATCAATCAGAATATAACCAACACTTTATTTAAAACACTTGGTTATTTTGACTCAGGGAACCTCTAAACATGTATTCCCGTTGAGAACTGAGATTCAAAATTTTCACGATCGCAATACTTTCCCTTGCTATATATTTCATATATAGGTTAGTGAAAGTAAAAAACTAAAAATGGCAGTCTTTGCCAAACATTGGGTGTTTGAAATTTGTACATATAGTCCTCACTCCCCTATCTAGGGTTGATCATTCTCCAAGCCAACCATTGGTGGGTGGAAGATTGCGAACCAGCGCACCAGCAAGCATTGATCTCCTTATTCACAAAACACCAGACGATGATGTGTGCCAAAGAATGGAGCTTCTGAAATTCACAAGTAAACTATATTATGACTCCATTTCTTGTCAATCAGAGAGTTCAAGATGAGACAGCCAGTCTATGTTAAATGGAAGGATCAATGGAAAGAAGAATCTATTACAAAGATTCTCCCTGAACCAAGATCATACTTGATTAAAGACCAATGTGACAACGAATATAGAAGAAACTCATCCCAGTTAAGAAGCCTCACCATACCCAATACTGATCCATTTTTTAAATTACCTAATACTGATCCTCAATTCAGACCAACTAATTCTGATCCTCTACCCCAATGCTCTAATGCTTTTTTTTAGGAGGACCAGAGGCAGCCTCTGCTTCACACACATAATGGTTCTTCCCTGCTGTTGGCAGAGGGGCATGCATCAAGTACAGCATGCATCTCCAACTAGTAACGGTATGTATGTAAAGATATGCGCACTAGATCGGGCCACCTAACGAGGCCACCAAAAATACTCTGTGAGGATTATGGGAAGAGTGTAAAATAAGACTGTAACCTCTTTCTATATTCAATTATGGTATAATTGATTACCTATGTTAATCTGATTAAGATAAAACACTTAGTGTATTTTGATGAATAATAAAGTATACATAAATGTTCTAAAAGTATTTTTTAAAACTAATCATACATAGTACATCAGGGGCACTCGCTACTTGTTATACTTTAAAAAAAAAATACAAAACGTATTAAAATTATTAATTTTAGCCTATCAATAAATCAAATGAATTAGAGAAATGTTGAATTACATAAAATTTCAATATTACATTATATAAAACAGCTTGAGAAATAAATTTAATGTTTTTAGAGTGGGGGAGATGACATCACTGCCCAGGGGCGTCGAATGTCTAGGACCAGCTCTACCCAGCGAGTATTAATTGGCAGACGTTTCTTTCTGGTCCTTTCTTGGAGTCTATATTTAAATGTTACAAGTTTGAGGCAGTATTAAATAACAACATATTTGTGGTCAAAAAAGTGATATTTTGAGACGGGTCTACCACATGTACTTAGCGGTTATTTGTTGGCAGATGTGTATTTTTGGTCCGTTTTTAGAGTTTATATTTAAACATAACAAGTTTAAGGCAGTATTAAATGAAACCATTTTGGTGGTCAAAAAGGTGATATTTTGAGTCGCGTATGCCGTGCGTACCCAGCTGGTCTTTGTTGGCAGAAGTGTGTTTTTGGTCCATTTTTAAAGTCTATAAGACTTGGTCTGTTTATAGAGTCTATAAATACAAGTTTCATGCAGTATGAAATGACAACATTTTAGTGGTAAAGAAAGTTTTATTTTTCATCGCGTCTGCCGCGTGTACCCAACGGGTATTCATTGGGAGACGTGTGTTTTTGGTCCTTTTTTGGAGTCTATATTTAAATAAAATAAGTTTCAAGCGGTTTGAAATGACAGTATTTTGGTGGTCAAAAAGGCAAGATTCTGAGTCGTGTCTGCCGGGCGTACTCAAAGGGTATTTTTAGTCAGACTCTTAATTTTAATATATTGTAATGTACATCTTTATTGGAAGTGAGTAAAAAGGTCTTAATAAATTAATGATGAACAATTAAAAGGCAAGCTAATCTAGTAGTAGTATTCTACTACTTCAGGGAAAAGAAAATAGCTTCTCTGTAGTTTTCCCAAAAAGAAAAATCCCAAAGAGGGGATGGGACAAAGGATTTTGTTTTGGCAGGCAGTTGATGTTTGGCTGGAGTGAAGAGAGGATAGGAGAAGGGACCTGGCTCCAGTGGGTAAAACCCAGTAATAGTATTACCATTTGGAAGTTGTGTTTGGCAGAACATTGGAAAGCATTTGAAGACAAATGAATTTAGTGCAAACAAACGAAGAAACAGTGTATATAGAAAAAAGGTTAGCTTGCCAATTCATACTTGACTTTATTTTAAAATCAAACAGTGTTTAGTATAGATAAAGTTAGTCTGTCTGAGTCATTGGATCTGATAGTCAGTAACCCACACCTGAGATAAATAAATATATTAATACTCTTATAATTTTGTTTATTATTTAATAACCTCTTATTTATTTAGGAAGTATCCCAAAAGTATAAAGTGATCTTTTGAGGTTATATTATTATTATTATTTGTATAATATAAAAGAGATGTTACAATATGGATTAGACCTAGTATCTATTATATTTAATATTTTTTAGTATGAAATATGTGATTTTTTTCGGAAATACTATCGTCTTCATCTGGCCCCTATTTTTTATTTCAGCGGCTATATGATGGCAGACATGCATTTTTATTTTCAGACCTTTGGACATGGTCAAACCTTAGTATGAAATAATACACCTTTTTTCCCACGGGCTCCGGAACTAGTGTATTTCCGTTGAAAATTCAGATTCAAAAATTTCAATATCACAATACTTTCCCTTACTATATATTACACATAAAGGTAAGGGAAAGTAAAAAAACTTGTGGATGCTATTACCTTCTGGAAAATAAAAAGAGCATCAAGGATAGATGAGATAGCCCCTAAAATGATCTAATACATGAACTAAAAGGAGATACAAATATTCCAGCATCCCTTTAACATCAAATAGAAAATGAGAAACATTACAAAGAACTGGGATATTTCAGTTATAGTTCCAATATTTAAAAAGGGAAAAATAGAGAATGTGAAAACCACCAGGATATATTCCTTCCTTTTGAGTGTCTCGAGCAAAATATACTTAAAGATTTTTGAAAGGTAAATACTAGAATCCTCATTGTGCAAAGAAGAATAATATGAATTTAAGCCAAGTAGAAGTATGCAGAATTTCATATTGGCAATAAGACAACTTTTAGAGAAAGTAATAGAAAGAGACTAGGAGATCTATGCTGACACTGTGGACCTGACTAAAGCATAATGATGCAAGTCATAACTTCTCCTTCTTTTTTAATGGTACGATATAATGTGGTCCTTGCCCTGCTCAATCGTTTTTCCCTAAACCATCTGCAGCACTGTACTATGCTCGCTCATCCCTGCCTGTCTCATGTTTATGTGGACACTATTCTTCCAGCATGATCTGGGTCTTGTCTCACCTGTAGTGTT